TTTCTCGAATTCGTTACATTTATAACCTATTTACTGTATACGTCTGATCCTGCGTAATATACCGGGTGGTCAGAAGATAATAACGAACGAAGTTTCTATTAACAACCGGAATTACTATATTATCGAGGATGAACGTGATTTTGCACGGTGAAACAACATGTTAGACAGCGAATTTCATTTTAATTACAGCGTCGTAATGGCCACTAATGAAACGGTAATTCGAGTCAATTATGCGGAATCATTAGCAGGAAAATGAACGCGGTTTTAAAGTACGAGCTGTCATACTGTTTGTCTCATTAAATCTGGGTCTTGATAGATGAACAGTAAAGTCTTCGTGTTCCGGGAAATGCAAAATCTTACTCTGTATGATAATCAATCAATCATTCGAACAAAACAAACAAAAAAAAAAGATTCGAGTAGTACTCGTGTTCCTTAAAAATAAAAAAAAAAAAAAGACATAAATCTATCTGTTTATCCGTCTCTTAGAATTCCTGTAATCACTTTAAATATTTCCGTTGCTATTAACGACGCGATAGAAATCTGAGAAACAGAGTTTCGTGGCAAATATGACTTCAGTCGCAAAAACAAAATTCAACGTTTAATATTATTATTGTTGCGACGCATTTCTGAAACGGCCAGGTTCAAACCAGACATCCGGTATATTACCGAACAAAAATTCCTTCGTGTTGTTGAATCGCCATTTTCGATCAGGTTCAAACCAGACACCCGGTATGTTACTAGAAAAAGGAGTTCGTTCGCGTTACTGAATGTAATCGGTCAGCGTGAACGTTCAAAATATCGCGTTCACACGTTCTGCGCCACGTGGTGGCTCATGGATGACCCACGATAGTCGTTGTAGGTGAAAATATTCATTAGGCGAACGAAAATATTATTCCTTCTGCTGTTCCTGGTAAACTCCGAGAGGAAGGAAAACGTTGTAGATGAAATCTTCGTCAAGTGAAGAAAAATATTATTCAGTTCGCTGTTCCAGTAGGTTCTCTATGAATGAAAATCATGGAATGCTGTTGTACTGTAGAGAACAATCGTTCAATATTCGAGAAATGTTAAAAAACGATCGATTACTCTGAAGACATTCGACGAGCAACCCTTTAATTATCTTACTAATTATTTACAATCAGCCAAAGTGAAAAATACCATATGTAGTTTCAGTATGAACAATACGATAAAAACAGTAGTATCGGTTTTGTAAATCTTCCGAAAATAGAATAAAAATATATTTGCAGTTACCTGTGCCGGAAATGAAGAATTAACAAATTAGGTTTCTTAATGCTGCGATTGCGTATGAATTATTTGGTTATCAGTTTTGACACGTTGCAAAAGAAAATTGTTAGGTTTCGGTTGCTCGTCGCTGTTCCAAGGTGTCTGTGTACTAGTTCGTTGGACTAAAAATATATTTATTACTACGGTTATTAATTACACACAAGCGGGAGAACATGTTTCACCGATCCAGAGAGCGTTATCGATTAATCGTACGTGCACGATTAGGATAATGGTAACCGTATTATGTCCGTGGATCCGGCGAGGTGATCGTTCGATCGGCTCTCGGCCGAATTTCCGGTCGTCCGCCGCGTTATTAGAGAGTCTAAGGGAAAACGCTTATCGACCAGTTCTTATCTGACGTCGAGCGTACGATACGTGAAAAACACGACGATGGGTTTTACGAGTCCCCGATGCTGGCCGAACGGAAAGTTTGCTCCCTGGGAACAAAAACCAGAGGAATCCTCGGAGCTGCCGTTCACAGCGTTCTTATTCGATCTGTGTTGCCTCTGGAAACGTACAAAATGTCCGGCTTCTTGGCCACGTTCTATTAACCGGGGGAATCAGCCTGATCGAGGCGTTCATCGTTCGTGTCCAAACAGTTTCTTTTTTTTTTTCTGACGGCTTGTGACGCCCCTGATTCTATTCCATAATTGGACGTTTCAATTTTATATTGTTCGGTTAATAAAGGTGTCTTTCGTTCTGGAATTGTCGAGTCGAGAATATTTCTATGTGTTCTAGCTGGTTTATTTTTTTTTTTTTTTTCAGTCATTAGATGGTGTAATGTGAAATTTTGAATTTCTTAGGGCTTCACCTATGTTTGTTTTTTTTTTCAAGATTTTTCGGTAGTAATTTACCAAGAATTGTATGAATTTTAAGTATACTATATAGGGTGTTTCACTTACTATTGAAAGTAAGAGAAAATGACTGATTGTAAGAGGAGTTGATATGTTGATAAAAGAAAATCCGGCCAAGGTCACGGAAATTTTGTTCGCATATTAACATTTATTTTTTATAATTGCAGTGAACAGCGGGACAAGTTCAATGACCTATAACAACACCACCTTAAAGTGATCTTAAATAGTAAACAAAAAATATCGCTGTAAACAATGTATAAACTCCTGTTAATCATTCGTTTTTCCTGCCAATACTACCGGAAATTATTTAAATATTCATCAGAAGTGAGACACCCGGTGTATATTCCTTGGTACCGAAAGAATTCTATAAGATCTGTTGTAAGAACGGATTAAATCAAAAGTGTTAATTGAAGCAAAATAATTTTTGCACTTTTCTGGATGATTACTATCAATTATCGAGTCTTCGTCCTCGGTACTCGTGTACCCGTTAACACGAAACGAATTTCGAATTTTTCGACACTCGAATAGTCGAACGATTCGAATCCCGAGATTTCATGTTACACAACCTAATGTTACTTTCATTTCGTACCGTTTCAATTTTTCTTCTTCCTCCTCTGATTATTCCAGTTGAAACACTTGAAATTCTTGACAGCGTGGAAGAAACGAGAAACTAGAAAATCTTTCGAAAACTTACGATTTCAATTCACTCGAGCTTCAGTTCTACTTATCTTTACGTCCGTTTCGTCGTAAAACATCATGATGGTTTAACTTGTAGCACTTGAATCACGGTGAATGGTATAACAGCCTGTTTGAAGACGGACATTTCCAACATTACGACTCAATAAATCCCGTAGAGCGGTCGACCTTTAAGGGGCGGTGGGGTGAGGATGAGGGGAGTGTTTACGATAAACCTAGGGACATTTCAGGCCTTCCAGACCGATGGTAACACACACACACACGTGGTATGATGCGTTTGAAATAATTTTATCTCCGATAAAGCGTATTGTTCCGACGACGGCCTGTTGCAATCTAGCCGCGCGCGGCGCGTCTCTATCTCGTTGTTCCTATAACCGCGCGCGCGGTAGAATTGATCCGAAGACGGATTGTTTCATTGGAATTCAATTGTTCTTGCCAGAAGGTTTCCCGCGAGACTTGAAACCGAACAGAGTGGGGGAAAAAAGAAGGTTTTTCCTTGTTTCCATTAATCTGTGACGTGGAATTCCCGATATTAATACATCGATTTTATTTTTACAATATTTTTGCATAAATGAACGAATACCGGATTGTGATTGAACAGGAAACAGTGGAATTTAAAAAGGATTAGAGAAATGTGACCTTCGCTCGAGCGAATATTCTTAGCGATTTTTCCTGCTAAAATCTAATCTCGTTGGTTCATCTGACAATTTCAGTTTATAAATTTTTTCTTTTCGTAAAATTAGTAGTATGTTAGATTTTAAGTGTACGATGTGAGAAAGTAGAAGATGGTACTATGTACATTTTTATGATCATGAGAGAAAGATCGATCCTTTCTTATTCGTAACTAGCTTACGAATTAAACATCCTTTCTTAACGCTAGAAAGATTGCTCGTTGAAAGATTTATATTAAAAATTATGATACTTATCAGTGTCGAACATTCACTTTTTGTTTTTGGAAAGTTGCTGATGGGTCGTTATTCAACCCGGTCGGTCTTTCTAGTGTTACAAACCAAAGGATACGCAATTCGTAACTTTTTTATTTTCATCAAACGAGTAATTTGTTAAGTTGAAAGTATCCAATATGACGCGGTAGAAAATAATACGGTATAAATTTTCGTAATCACGAGACAAAGGTTAACCCTCTCATATTTGTAACTAGTTCACAATTTAAATTCCCTCTTTTAAGAATTAAAGGACACCCGAAACCCATTGTACATATTTCCCAGAAATACACGTAAGTATACGAGTTCATCGACCAGGATGAAATTTTCCCTGAAACGGGTTCACAGTCCTCGAAAAAGGGTTTAAAAACAGAAGACACGCTCATTCACTCCCAATGAAACGATCCGTCTTCGATCCTCCCCAGACCGGTGTTCCAATCACCCAGGCACGCGTTAATCGCTGGTTCTTTGGCTCGCAGGTATACGCATCCTAGAGTCGTAAACAGCACTGGTAAAACGGTGCCCGAAAAAGACGGTAATCCAGGGCGAGTAAACGCGCTCGACTCACGGGCTGGAAGTGAAAATTCCAGGGTTGAAAAAAGGAAAGAAAGAAAAAAAAAACAAATAACACAGAACGAAGATTTTTCAGCGGAGAGAGGGATAGAGAAAAATCACGTCGGTGATTTGTAAATCCAAAGGATCCCCAGCCGTAAGAAAATCGCATTCCATCTGGCGGGCTGTTAAGCAAAGGGAAAGAAAAGCTTTCCGTGGCGAGGAAGAAGAAGAAGCGAGCCGTGGCGAAGCGGATCATGCGACGGTCGCTCGGTTAACGCGTTCCTGATCGTCGACGTGCCGCCTCGTGCTGCTGCTGCTCGCGTTATGCAGTGACGCTGCGTGAGAGGTGTTCGCCGAGGTTTGCGTGTGTGGCGTGAGTGCGTGGTCAGAAGAGTATGTTGAATAGTGGTGGCTCGTCTACGAGCACCATGAAGAACCCTGAGCACGAGAGCGGTTACTTCGAGGACGGTAGCGACGTTGAGACCAACGTCGAGGAGGCGAACGTCATCACCGGGGAGAGGAAGTACGTGTCGACCTGTTACGGGTTGACCAAGGCCATCCACGAGTTAGACGTCAGGGACTCCAGCGAGCCGGTTCCCGACCACTACGAGGACAGATTGAACAGAGGTACGACGCGATGTTTTCCTCAAAAAACCGTACCGCGACGCGTCATTTTCACGGCGTGTTCGATAAATCGTCGCCGCTGGGTAGATTGGGGGGTAAGAGGGGAAAGCCGATGTTTGCGCACGACAGGTGTGTCAGGTGGGTTGGTAAATGGGATGGGATTAAACTTTCTTGAGGAGATTGCGTGTCTATGTGTGTGCGTTGAGTGTGCCGCTGGTATTAAGTACCTGTTTCAACCCTTTTTGCCCGAGGTTACTATTGTTTGTTGTATTCAGTAGTGTTGAGTACGTTGGGCTAATTGGACTGAGGAAGGACTGAGGATATGTTGAATAAATTGAGTACATTGGGTAGATTGAGCTTACTGAGTACATTCAGTACTTCGAGTGCATATGTTGAGTACAGTAATGTCTCTACAAGTGTCAGTCCGCAAGGAACCTAAACCTGACGCTTGTAGAGTCAGGGACTACGTTTTCGAGCCTCGCGCCCGCCTTTGTAGTTTGCCGAACGTAGACAATTTTGAACGTCATAGCTAGCTAGACATTATTTTAAATTGATAAAAAAAAATTATAAAGCATAATACTATAATCTTATGCTTAAAATAATGAATATTTTCTGGTGGCCGCCTGAGAGCAACCTGTAAATCTGGCGTGACAGTGAACGTGTTAATAAGTAAATGTTGATCAAATTATGTGGTGTTTGATCTCATTTTCATCAGAAAAATCTCATCAATATGTTAAGAAAAATTTCGGGATAAAGAAACGTAAAATTAAAAAAGTTGCTATTTAAATCGCTTGGTTGCCTCGACTCACGTTTCGTGCTTATCTTTTATTCGCTGTCCTTGTCCTACGTTCGGCAAACTACAAAGGCGGGCGCGAGGCTCGAAAACGTAGTCCCTGACTCTACAAGTGTCAGGTCTAGCTTCCTTGCGGACTGACACTTGTGGAGAATTTACTGTATATCGAACATATCACGTAGATGAAACACACCGAGTAGATTGAGTACAATGAGTACGTAGAGTACATTCAGAATATTTCGATTTCATTGGTTAGATCGATTACACTGAGTGCATTAAAAGCACCTGAATGCGTTTCAATACTCAACAAGCTTACGTACACTTGGTACATTAAGTAAATTGAATGCAGTAACTAATACTTAACAAAATTGAATACATTATGCATTTCACACATCCACATTTACGAAATGGAACTCAATTAATTAACGATATAACTCTGTCATAATACAAGGTTTATCATACGTACGACAAATACTCGAAACAGTTGGTAACAATTATCTCTTAATCTCCCAGAAAACTTGTCGCCAAACTTTCACTCGTATTTCCATTCCGTTTCCATTAATTCGTTGCATTCACCGAAAAACACACTTACCCTTTATATTCCAAACAACCCGATTATGTACCCAAGGAATCGTCCGTTCCGAGACAAACAGCAGTTAGATAATCTGTGCTCCCTTTATCGTTACAAATCCCATTAACGAACCGAATCCCGTAAATGAATCGTGCATTGGACGTATCCTCGACTTACTCGCTCGCACGAAAACAATTTACGTCCAAAGGACAATGTCCGCTTCCTGGTGAATAATCCCTAGCCGGCAACAACGAAATGGGCAAGTTTCAATTAGTCATAAGCCGGACATTCTAGCGTGAACGTGACGCGTTCTTCGTCTCTTTCTCCTTGTTCCAAAGGTTCTGTCGCGTTTTCGTGGACATCAGTGGTGGTATCTTATGAAGACAGTGAGTCACGCCACAGGCGTGTGCAGCGTCACGTTTAACCCTCTTTCAGGTACGAGGACCTAGAAAGTAAAACGTCCACGTGTGGGCACGTGAACCGTTACGAATGTCCAACACGTTCTCCAAATAGAGGACCATCGATGACTCTCGATGACTCAAGGGTATCGTCATCTGCTCTTTGAACGTTTAGGTTAGATTGTCTTTCTTAAAAAAAAAAAAAAGGGCTGTTTCGCAAACTGTGAAGTAGGTTTTACTTTGCTTAGGTAGAGTATACATCGGTGATTGACGAGCAGGATAAGTATTAATAGAGTTGTGACTTTTCCATTACAAAGTAAACATATTCCATTGAAACAGAATTTTTTATTTTTCTTTGATTTCTGATTTTTACTTCTTTTTTTTACGTTCGATAATTTTTTTCAAAGTAACTATTTGTTATTCGTCTGAGTATCAGTTTTGCTGTTTTCAATAATATAAATTCTTTCAACGTGTTAAAAGCATTAAGTTACTCTTAAATGTATTAAGTTCTGAAAGTGACTTAAAATAGGACTTTTTTCCCCCTTATATTATTTGTTTTTTCGAACTAATTTTAATTAGTCGCCGTTAAAAATGTAACGGGGATGTGAGATGGTAGAAATCGCACGATTTGATCGCCGGCCAAACACTTCTATTATTGCAGCTGTTCAAAGGCAGAGCGCACGCGGCACACTATTGCGCAACGCACGCTCGAAGTGCCATCATACTCGAGATTTGTTGCAACAAAGCTGAGTGCACTCGTCCCTCGGAAAGACTATTATCGAAACGTTGCAACGACTCAGCTTACGACTAGGAAACGCGAGTCGAGTTTGTTCGAATTCACGCTGGCAGTTTTTAATACGATTCTGTGGGTGTTTGCACGTGTCTTGTGTATAGTGATCGTTGTTATTTCATCGGGATGCGAATTTTTGATGAAGAGGAACGTTCTCGTGATGTTGGGTATGTTGGTATATTTTTTTTGCCGAAGTTGCAAGAATTTTCACATTTGTAAGTATAATTTTCCTCTATTCGATTTTAAGAGTGTGTTTTACCGATTTCAACGATGAAAAATTCCGTTCTGCATAAGAATGGAATATTTTATTTAGCATTTCAATTTCAGTGCTTGCGTGTTGATAACAGTGTATTGTTTCTTTCGCATGCTGAGTATAATGCATTACTGAAATTGAGCAGGGAATTTTGGGAACAGCCTGTATGTACTTAGCGAAGTAGCACAAATATTTTACCTGTTGTACTACTTAATGATGGGTCGTAAAATTTTTAATAGCGGCTTAGGTACCTCCTGTACTATTTAATGCAGGAATAATTATCGTGTTTATTGCGTTGGTCACTGTGGGTCATTCTGTACAGTATTTTAGAAAAATTAATTTCCTTCCGTTTATTATAAATTACATCTCGTGTGATTAATCACAATTTTGTTTTTATCTTGTGGGTCGTTCTATACTTAGTTATATATTCTATCCCATACATTATGTATCGTAAGAATGAATTAAAAAAAAAAAACGTTACTTCGATTTTATTTATTTATTATAAATTGGATTTCGTACGACTCATTTTTGTTTTCTCGTAAATCAGCAAAAATTCCATTTGAAAGGGTTGATCGTCAGTTTCTCGCGATTTCCATCTCCCGTAATCAAGCACAATTTTTTTCTCTTTCATAAATCAGCAAACATCCCATTTGAAAGGGTTGAACATCAATTTCTCGCGATTTCTATCTCGTGTAATCAGGCAAGAATTTTTTTCTTCTTACCGTAAATCAGCAAGAATCCCAATTTGAAAAAAGGGTTGAACGTAAATTTCTCGCGATTTCTTTGTGCAGCAGAATGCTATAGAGATACACTGTCTGCAAACCACATGTCGGCTCTCCTACCTAACACCTTGCAACTTCCCAAATCTCTTTCAAGAACACATAGTCGAACACCTGTTACAAAATTTTTACCATCAGATTTTAATTTTAGTCGCCTGACAGAGGGAAAGAAACGTACCTAACTGCAGTTTCACCGTGTAGACACCTCAAATTACCCCTTTTTGAAAAGACAACAAAAATATTCCCAGGTGAAAGTAGACCTCACCAGGCCATCATCTTGCCAAACAAGAAGATTCGCCAAGCCTTCGTGTTGCAAAAAAAAAAAAGGAAGATTCGCCAAGCCTTCATGTTGCAAAAAAAAAAAAAAAAAAAAAAAAAGAAAAAAGGAAGAAAGATCCACTGTACCCCTCGTATTCATCTTCCAATATGATCTCCACGAAGAAACGCGTTCATTCTATCCGAAGAAGCTCACGAGACATCGAACATACGTTGAACGTACGAAGCCTCGAGGTATCCGATACCCTGGCTCTAATTATTTCAAGTACAATATGGCGGGGGGGCATTGTTCATAAGTAGATACTTAGGGATTTGTGTCCTTTGTGGTATCCTTTATTCGCAGCAATTTTGGGAATTTCCATTTCAATGGAAACGAATCACGTGAATTTAACTAGTTTGGTAGGTTGGTTCTTTCTTCTAACGAAGAATAGTTCTATTCGAGAAATTTGTCATGTTTCTAGGTTAGGTTTGTAAAGAGAATCAGTTGACCAGGTTTATTTTTCTTTTAACCCGATGTTAATCTGGTGAACTTTCGTATTTTAACACATTTTAAAAATTTAGAATTTTTATTTTTTTTTATTTGCATTGTTTCTAATCCTCAAAACACTGAAATCATACTGACCGATTTGAGGCACAAGGGGAATTTAAAGTTGATAAAGTGAGATTCTTAATCTTGGAAAAGTTTCTTTGGTAAGAGCAAAATTTAAATTTGACGAAACCAAAGAAATTTCTATTTAAATCCCTAAGCTTCGGAAAATTTCTATGGAAAAATCAAACGTTAAATTTGGCAAAACCAAAGAAATTTTGTAACGACGGTATAATGTTAATAGTACTCAGAATTTACTCAGAAATCGAGCTTCACTATCAAAAATCTTACTTTACACTTTCCATTTATTTTTTTTCCAGTAGATTAATTCTACTTCGCATTGCACCGCCAGTTCAGCGACACTCTGTAGACAAAGTAGCCTTCAAGAACCGAGTATTCCACAGGAAAAGGCAGATAGATCCAGATACTATCTTAGCACGTCGAAGAAATCCGAGGACTGACAGCTTGCGACCACATTGTGTGGTTTTTATCCACCGTTTCGTACCTGTGCGTGTACTTACCTGTGTGTGCACACCTTTTATACCAATTTTTTTTTC